TATGATAATCATGGTGGTGTTTACAAAATAGGCTGCTGGTAAATCAAGTAGAGGATGTCCCTCGAAGACATATCTTGAGAAATATTTGAATAAGAATGTTCTGACGTTATAAAAAGACACATCGAAGATTTCAGGATCTTAGTAGTGGAATAAACAGTCTTTTTTATTTTTTAACTGAAATGCAAAATGCGAAAACTATATGTAAATACGTATCGCTTTATATCTATTTTAGAAAATGGTGTATATATGTTATGAATATATATTTTTTGTTTTGTTAGATAAAGAGTTGATAAGACAAAGGATCGATAAGATAAAGGGTTGAGGTGCAGTCGTGATAAGAAAAAGATAATTATTTACTGTCAAGTAGCTTTTATTTTCAATTACTTGAGAAAAGATTACACATTAGTTATTTTCACATTATATAGAATTTATAAAGTTAATCCTATATTAGTGATTTAAAAGGATATATATGTTAACTACGCATATTTACAACAAAACTATACAACAGAACTGAAAGTCTTTCTGAAAAACGATGATAACAAAGTAATATTATCAATGAATAAAATAAAATATATATTTTTTGAAATATAGAAATATTTGAGTTTTTAGATTATATAATTCTATATACAGTTACGAGCGTCATTCTTCATCTCTTAATCAGTTTTCGTCTCTGTCACCGTTTGCTTTTTTTTTTTGGAATGGCGCCCTCCTATTTCGTTTTTGTAACTATTGTGTTGGAGCGGGTCGCTCCTTAAATAAATGCATATATTAGTTAATAACCAAATGGAATCCTCTCTTTCTTTTTCCCAGTAAGAGACGCCTACGGAAGCCAAAAGTACATAGACAGATAAAGCACATAGGCTATAGTTATTAACTAATATATGCATTTATTAAAGGCGCCAATTTATAATTGTAACAAATAGTATTTGAATCAAAACATTCAATCGGGTAAAACACGGGCGTTGCCCGGGTCATTCAGCTAGTATGTATATAAGTAGAATTAGGGTTCAAAGTAACCATTCCCCTTGAGGAGAGTGATATCGAATCACTGATACGTCTGGAGTTAAATAAATCATTGGTTCATCAACCAATTCTTTCTAAAATACTGAACGTAGGCTTTTGTGGTATATGTTGAGGATAAATTCGTTCATCACTGTGTGTAAGTTTGATATCAAGTAATGGCGGAGAATTTTTTCTTCCTTTTCAGCATCACATTTTCTGACACCAAAATAAGTAAGTTTGATATTTAAATAATTTCTAAAATCTGAGGTCGAATTCCTTTCATATCTAACCATCATTTCTCTATCATGTCCAGTGTAGCCTAGTGGACATGGCATCTGCCCGGTAAGCGGAACACTGTGGGTTCGATTCCCATCCCTGGACATCGTTTCTTTATCATGTCCAGGGTAGCCTAGTGGACATGGTATCTGCCCGGTAAGCGGAACACTATGGGTTCGATTCCCATCCCTGGATATCGTTTCTCTATCATGTCTAGGGTAGCCTAGTGGACATGGTATCTGCCCGGTAAGCGGAACACTATGGGTTCGATTCCCATCCCTGGACATCGTTTCTCTATCATGTCTAGGGTAGCTTAGTGGACATGGTATCTGCCCGGTAAGCGGAACACTATGGGTTCGATTCCCATCCCTGGACATCGTTTCTCTATCATGTCCAGGGTAACCTAGTGGACATGGTATCTGCCCGGTAGGCGGAACACTATGGGTTCGATTCCCATCCCTGGATATCGTTTCTCTATCATGTCCAGGGTAGCCTAGTGGACATGGTATCTGCCCTGTAAGCGGAACACTGTGGGTTCGATTCCCATCCCTGGACATCGTTTCTCTATCATGTCCAGGGTAGCCTAGTGGACATGGTATCTGCCCTGTAAGCGGAACACTATGGGTTCGATTCCCATCCCTGGATATCGTTTCTCTATCATGTCCAGGGTAGCCTAGTGGACATGGCATCTGACCGGTTAGCGGAACACTATGGGTTCGATTCCCATCCTTGGATATCGTTTCTCTATCATGTCCAGGGTAGCCTAGTGGACATGGTATCTGCCCTGTAAGCGGAACACTGTGGGTTCGATTCCCATCCCTGGATATCGTTTCTCTATCATGTCCAGGGTAGCCTAGTGGACATGGCATCTGACCGGTTAGCGGAACACTATGGGTTCGATTCCCATCCCTGGATATCGTTTCTCTATCATGTCCAGGGTAGCCTAGTGGACATGGTATCTGCCCTGTAAGCGGAACACTATGGGTTCGATTCCCATCCCTGGATATCGTTTCTCTATCATGTCTACGGTAGCCTAGTGGACATGGCATCTGACCGGTTAGCGGAACACTATGGGTTCGATTCCCATCCCTGGATATCGTTTCTCTATCATGTCCAGGGTAGCCTAGTGGACATGGTATCTGCCCTGTAAGCGGAACACTATGGGTTCGATTCCCATCCCTGGATATCGTTTCTCTATCATGTCCAGGGTAGCCTAGTGGACATGGCATCTGCCCGGTAAGCGGAACACTATGGGTTCGATTCCCATCCCTGGATATCGTTTCTCTATCATGTCCAGGGTAGCCTAGTGGACATGGTATCTGCCCTGTAAGCGGAACACTATGGGTTCGATTCCCATCCCTGGATATCGTTTCTCTATCATGTCTACGGTAGCCTAGTGGACATGGCATCTGACCGGTTAGCGGAACACTATGGGTTCGATTCCCATCCCTGGATATCGTTTCTCTATCATGTCCAGGGTAGCCTAGTGGACATGGCATCTGACCGGTTAGCGGAACACTATGGGTTCGATTCCCATCCCTGGACATCGTTTCTCTATCATGTCCAGGGTAGCCTAGTGGACATGGTATCTGCCCTGTAAGCGGAACACTATGGGTTCGATTCCCATCCCTGGATATCGTTTCTCTATCATGTCCAGGGTAGCCTAGTGGACATGGCATCTGCCCGGTAAGCGGAACACTATGGGTTCGATTCCCATCCTTGGATATCGTTTCTCTATCATGTCCAGGGTAGCCTAGTGGACATGGTATCTGCCCTGTAAGCGGAACACTATGGGTTCGATTCCCATCCCTGGATATCGTTTCTCTATCATGTCCAGGGTAGCCTAGTGGACATGGCATCTGCCCGGTAAGCGGAACACTGTGGGTTCGATTCCCATCCCTGGATATCGTTTCTCTATCATGTCCAGGGTAGCCTAGTGGACATGGCATCTGCCCTGTAAGCGGAACACTGTGGGTTCGATTCCCATCCCTGGATATCGTTTCTCTATCATGTCCAGGGTAGCCTAGTGGACATGGCATCTGCCCGGTAAGCGGAACACTGTGGGTTCGATTCCCATCCCTGGATATCGTTTCTCTATCATGTCCAGGGTAGCCTAGTGGACATGGCATCTGCCCTGTAAGCGGAACACTGTGGGTTCGATTCCCATCCCTGGACATCGGTTCTCTATCATGTCTAGGGTAGCCTAGTGGACATGGTATCTGCCCTGTAAGAGGAACACTATGGGTTCGATTCCCATCCCTGGATATCGTTTCTCTATCATGTCCAGGGTAGCCTAGTGGACATGGTATCTGCCCTGTAAGCGGAACACTATGGGTTCGATTCCCATCCCTGGATATCGTTTCTCTATCATGTCCAAGGTAGCCTAGTGGACATGGCATCTGACCGGTTAGCGGAACACTATGGGTTCGATTCCCATCCCTGGATATCGTTTCTCTATCATGTCCAGGGTAGCCTAGTGGACATGGCATCTGCCCGGTAAGCGGAACACTATGGGTTCGATTCCCATCCCTGGATATCGTTTCTCTATCATGTCCAGGGTAGCCTAGTGGACATGGTATCTGCCCGGTAAGCGGAACACTGTGGGTTCGATTCCCATCCCTGGACATCGTTTCTCTATCATGTCCAGGGTAGCCTAGTGGACATGGCATCTGCCCGGTAAGCGGAACACTGTGGGTTCGATTCCCATCCCTGGACATCGGTTCTCTATCATGTCTAGGGTAGCCTAGTGGACATGGTATCTGCCCTGTAAGCGGAACACTATGGGTTCGATTCCCATCCCTGGATATCGTTTCTCTATCATGTCCAGGGTAGCCTAGTGGACATGGTATCTGCCCGGTAAGCGGAACACTATGGGTTCGATTCCCATCCCTGGATATCGTTTCTTTATCATGTCCAGGGTAGCCTAGTGGACATGGTATCTGCCCTGTAAGCGGAACACTATGGGTTCGATTCCCATCCCTGGACATCGTTTCTCTATCATGTCCAGGGTAGCCTAGTGGACATGGCATCTGCCCGGTAAGCGGAACACTGTGGGTTCGATTCCCATCACTGGACATCGTTTCTCTATCATGTCCAGGGTAGCCTAGTGGACATGGTATCTGCCCGGTAAGCGGAACACTGTGGGTTCGATTCCCATCCCTGGACATCGTTTCTCTATCATGTCCAGGGTAGCCTAGTGGACATGGCATCTGCCCGGTAAGCGGAACACTGTGGGTTCGATTCCCATCCCTGGACATCGTTTCTCTATCATGTCCAGGGTAGCCTAGTGGACATGGCATCTGCCCGGTAAGCGGAACACTTTGGGTTCGATTCCCATCCCTGGATATCGTTTCTCTATCATGTCCAGGGTAGCCTAGTGGACATGGCATCTGCCCGGTAAACGGAACACTATGGGTTCGATTCCCATCCCTGGATATCGTTTCTCTATCATGTCCAGGGTAGCCTAGTGGACATGGTATCTGCCCTGTAAGCGGAACACTGTGGGTTCGATTCCCATCCCTGGATATCGTTTCTCTATCATGTCCAGGGTAGCCTAGTGGACATGGCATCTGCCCGGTAAACGGAACACTATGGGTTCGATTCCCATCCCTGGATATCGTTTCTCTATCATGTCCAGGGTAGCCTAGTGGACATGGCATCTGCCCGGTAAACGGAACACTATGGGTTCGATTCCCATCCCTAGATATCGTTTCTCTATCATGTCCAGGGTAGCCTAGTGGACATGGCATCTGCCCGGTAAGCGTAACACTGTGGGTTCGATTCCCATCCCTGGATATCGTTTCTCTATCATGTCCAGGGTAGCCTAGTGGACATGGCATCTGCCCGGTAAGCGGAACACTGTGGGTTCGATTCCCATCCCTGGATATCGTTTCTCTATCATGTCTAGGGTAGCCTAGTGGACATGGCATCTGCCCGGTAAGCGGAACACTATGGGTTCGATTCCCATCCCTGGATATCGTTTCTCTATCATGTCCAGGGTAGCCTAGTGGACATGGCATCTGCCCGGTAAGCGGAACACTATGGGTTCGATTCCCATCCCTGGATATCGTTTCTCTATCATGTCTAGGGTAGCCTAGTGGACATGGCATCTGCCCGGTAAGCGGAACACTGTGGGTTCGATTCCCATCCCTGGATATCGTTTCTCTATCATGTCCAAGGTAGCCTAGTGGACATGGCATCTGACCGGTTAGCGGAACACTATGGGTTCGATTCCCATCCCTGGATATCGTTTCTCTATCATGTCCAGGGTAGCCTAGTGGACATGGCATCTGCCCGGTAAGCGGAACACTATGAGTTCGATTCCCATCCCTGGATATCGTTTCTCTATCATGTCCAGGGTAGCCTAGTGGACATGGCATCTGCCCGGTAAGCGGAACACTGTGGGTTCGATTCCCATCCCTGGATATCGTTTCTCTATCATGTCTAGGGTAGCCTAGTGGACATGGCATCTGCCCGGTAAGCGGAACACTATGGGTTCGATTCCCATCCCTGGATATCGTTTCTCTATCATGTCCAGGGTAGCCTAGTGGACATGGCATCTGCCCGGTAAGCGGAACACTATGGGTTCGATTCCCATCCCTGGATATCGTTTCTCTATCATGTCTAGGGTAGCCTAGTGGACATGGCATCTGCCCGGTAAGCGGAACACTGTGGGTTCGATTCCCATCCCTGGATATCGTTTCTCTATCATGTCCAAGGTAGCCTAGTGGACATGGCATCTGACCGGTTAGCGGAACACTATGGGTTCGATTCCCATCCCTGGATATCGTTTCTCTATCATGTCCAGGGTAGCCTAGTGGACATGGCATCTGCCCGGTAAGCGGAACACTATGGGTTCGATTCCCATCACTGGATATCGTTTCTCTATCATGTCCAGGGTAGCCTAGTGGACATGGTATCTGCCCGGTAAGCGGAACACTGTGGGTTCGATTCCCATCCCTGGACATCGTTTCTCTATCATGTCCAGGGTAGCCTAGTGGACATGGCATCTGCCCGGTAAGCGGAACACTGTGGGTTCGATTCCCATCCCTGGACATCGGTTCTCTATCATGTCTAGGGTAGCCTAGTGGACATGGTATCTGCCCTGTAAGCGGAACACTATGGGTTCGATTCCCATCCCTGGATATCGTTTCTCTATCATGTCCAGGGTAGCCTAGTGGACATGGTATCTGCCCGGTAAGCGGAACACTATGGGTTCGATTCCCATCCCTGGATATCGTTTCTTTATCATGTCCAGGGTAGCCTTATGGACATGGTATCTGCCCTGTAAGCGGAACACTATGGGTTCGATTCCCATCCCTGGACATCGTTTCTCTATCATGTCCAGGGTAGCCTAGTGGACATGGCATCTGCCCGGTAAGCGGAACACTGTGGGTTCGATTCCCATCCCTGGATATCGTTTCTCTATCATGTCCAGGGTAGCCTAGTGGACATGGCATCTGCCCGGTAAGCGGAACACTGTGGGTTCGATTCCCATCCCTGGATATCGTTTCTCTATCATGTCTAGGGTAGCCTAGTGGACATGGCATCTGCCCGGTAAGCGGAACACTATGGGTTCGATTCCCATCCCTGGATATCGTTTCTCTATCATGTCCAGGGTAGCCTAGTGGACATGGCATCTGCCCGGTAAGCGGAACACTATGGGTTCGATTCCCATCCCTGGATATCGTTTCTCTATCATGTCTAGGGTAGCCTAGTGGACATGGCATCTGCCCGGTAAGCGGAACACTGTGGGTTCGATTCCCATCCCTGGATATCGTTTCTCTATCATGTCCAGGGTAGCCTAGTGGACATGGCATCTGCCCGGTAAGCGGAACACTGTGGGTTCGATTCCCATCCCTGGATATCGTTTCTCTATCACAAAAGTGTAAATTAGTTATTGGTTTAATTTGAATAGGCTATGTCTATCCTATATTTTAAAATTTAATCTTAATCTATTTACCTACTTATTGAATTTATAAATGTGTATGGGTAGAATTTTAATGACCTCATTTCTCGCCTAAACACAAGCCACACAAGGAAAATATTCTTTAAAGGCAAAACCAAACATTTCCTAAACTGCACAAAATGTCAGGCTTGTGAGACATCCCCGGAGCACAGTGCTGTGAGCTAAACAAGATATCTACAACAGCAAGTCATCAATATACTGCGCAAGTTGGCTTAAGCAATCAACTGATGGGTTAAAAAAAAGAGTGATAATGGAAAATAGGTGGTCTTTGAACTTTTATTTATATATAACCTGGCTTCCCCCGTTTTCTGCTCTAGTGAATGTTTCAGTGAAAATAAAAAAATTCTCTCAATAATGAAGGTCTGTCTTCTTCAATGTTCTGCCCGTTAGAATGTTTCGCCGAAAGAATTTTAATTTTGCCCATTAAAACATGATGTAGGAGAATTATCATAATTATTTTCTTAATAAAAATAATTAAATCAGTCCAGTACTTGATTAATTTGAAATTTCTTTGGATGAAAAAATGTGACCAAAAACTCCTTTCAGACTTAACTCTATATCCTTTTAAAATTTCAGCCAGATTGGTTACATATTTCGGAAATACATTAGGAACAAACAAATAAATATAAATACATACGTTGAATAAATATGTATTCACATATGTACCAGATTTCAGCCAGATTGGTCAAATTTTTCTCGGAAAATGCATAAGCAACAAATATGGCGATTATTTAAGACAATAATCTCTAGTTAGAAATTACTTTTTCTCAAACAATTCGTTTTTGAATAAACGTCAAAAGGTTTCTCTGATGTTTACTCCAAATGCCTCAGGTCACCAGCGCAGCAATATATGCATCGAATCTATTTATTTTAATGGTAGTCATAATGTGGCGTCTATACGTTGTTTCCAAAGTTAGATAGGTTTATAATATCTAGGAGAGTTAACCTAGCAGTAACAAAAGGTATTATGATCCTTAATGATGTGTTTACAAGAAAGAATTCGGTTGATCAAGTGGAAGATGGATCCTCAAAGACAAACCTCGGGCGACACGTCCTCTTGACCGCAGGCGACGCGACGTCGCCACCAAAAAAACACCGACTCAGCTCGGGTTTCGAAGCCGTCCAAAAAAGTATAAATGAGAGGTTTAATCCTTGATTAAACGTGGAAACCAACACGACCACTCAGCCCTAATGAGCTTCCTAGATTCTTCCAGAGAAAGAAGTAAGAATAAAATTTACCATCTGCCTTTTCCAATTCAATGACGCCAAGATGATTGACACTCAATAAGAATATTTTTAAAATTGGTAACTAAAATGAATTTGCATCTATGATTGATCCTGAAAATCAAAAAACAAATACGAAGAACTACCAGAATATTCCATATATCGATTGTCAGGTAGAATAATGAGAGAAGACAAGCGTTAGGATGACACAAGGCGATTTATTTTGATTAAAAAAATTGATCAACCTTCTAACATCAAATAATAGAAAGACAATATTAGAAATAACCTGAGTGACATACTATTAAAATTAATAATATGTTATTCACAAATAAAAAAATATTACGTTACAAAGCTACTTCCTAATGTAAGTTGTTACCCACAGCTTGCAAATCTTGTTGCTACTGACATGGATCTTTTGGGTTTCGGTCATGGATATTCTCAAAGTCTATTAAAACTATTTTTCTTATTGCTAAAGAACAGTTATGTTGTTTTAGAGTCTATAAGGATGTCGTATTCTTGAAAGGAAGTTGTGACTTCAATACGGCAGTTTACTCCTGGAGGCAGTCGCGGAAAAATGTAGTACACAGCAACCATGGCCTCAGGATTCACTCTGCGTTCTTAAATTTGTCTTCCCTAATCTACCCAGCATCTCTTTCAAATGGTCACGTAGAATATTTCAGCAAGACAAAGGTAAGAATGACAAGGCAATTTATCTTGGTCAGAAAATCGCGGGCCATCGTGCTAGCCGAGACTGTGGAGTTGATGGTATAGGCGGTTGGTTGTTCTCTGAAGTAAACCTTAATCTTCTTTTTCTGGAACTTGGTGATACATTTATGGTGTGATCTGGACAATTTTACTTTTCTATATATCTATGAATGTGAAGTGCATTCATGAACAAAACTTAAGAAAGTTTTAACTTTTATGTCGCTGGTTGTCTGTATTTTTGAAGAAGACAGAGATGTCCACACTTGGTTATCTCGTGTGTCTTTAATAAAGATCACTGTAATATCTTTCAGAGTTATTGTCTGAATCCCGATATATATGCTAAAAGGTACGATTTAAGCGACATCTCTAAAGAACGACCATTTTTCTAAAGTAATAAATCATTAGACCTGCTATCATCCTACTTCCAATGAGCGTCCATTTCCAATAACGACCACCAGAAATTTATCATCTACGCATAAACGCAATATACCAATCAGGATAATTGAATAAAGAAACTTACTCGTTGATATATCAGCTATGTGTTTAGACAATCTATTACGGACGACTCTTCTTCAGGTTTTCTACTCTTTGGCAGCTCTTAATATTCAGTGAAGCCATGCTTCTCTATCCTCGTAGTCTCTCACCGCTCAGAGGAGATTAATAGATTCGCCGAATATCTTGGTCCATTTGGATGAGAAAAGTGAAGACTAAAACGTTGCTGATTCCACATAAGTCTTTTCAGTGATACGCTAACCTTGGTGTGGCCACTTAACATGAATCGGACCTGGAGGTTGTTGTGGGGTTCTGTGTTGTCTGGAGTATAGGAGCTCCATCTATGTTTCCTTCCTGCTGTGAATTTGCATAAGACTGGTGGTCACAATAAATCTGTATATATGTGTAATTCATAGTTTCTTTTCCCCTCCCAATGATTTCAGCTGATTCTTTATCCAACTATTATTTTTACATTCATTTTTTACCCTCCAGAACCTTTTTCATATACCTATTTCCTCTTTAATTTAGGTACTATTCAATATTCTATCTTTTTCTGATGATCTCATCATCAAGTTTTGTTCTTTTCTCCAAAACCTACATTTTCCTGATTGATAGTTCTACTGTAATTAAAATTGTTTTTTGGTCTTTTTTAAGTATGCCTAGTATACGTGGTGTGCGCACAGCCCATGATCATCATCGTGGTTACAAGTTGGTTACTGGTTTTTACTGTAAATGCACCACATGCCTACACATAGGAAAATCAGTTCGACTTTTGAACTTATAGGTGTGCCAGAACCCCGTTTGATTACTTGCACCCACTGGTTGGGTTGGAATTTTGCAAGAATCGGAGGCCATTGGAGAATATTTTTAATTAGAAAAAAAAGTACCTATTTCGGGATTCGATCCCAGGTCGTAGCAGTCGAAACCCAATGGTTTAGACCACTCATACACTGATCCCCCCCCCACCTTTTTCTTTTATAAATCTGTTTTGTTACAAAACCTGGTAGGTTGCAGACCTTCTATCTTTATAAATTCAATTGCCTTTTATCGATAAAACCTTTAACAATTATGGCAAAAATGTGTTTCTTTTCACATATATCATATAAATATTTATCTCTACAGACTTTACTGCAATGATAAAAGTTATTGAATGAGAGGACTTAGCTCATCCGTGGTGAACCTTTTCAGCAGTTTCACCAAATTAATTTCCAGGCCGTTCTTGTATTAGATTGTGGTTTACATATATACCCTGAATTTTCAAAGGAAGGAAGCTTAGGGGTGTTTAGGTAACCTATAGACGTAAGCTTATAAGACCTTCTATATGAATCAAAGAAACTTTGTTGAAGAGTAGTGGAATCATTGTTAGATAAGCAACTTTCTCACACGTAACTTTTGAACATTCTTGTTCAACCATGATCGGCCACAAATGGACTCTCATATCTCGGACTATCGCAGCATCTGGAAGGAATTTTCTGAGAGGCCGCTATAGGGTTATTCCAATACTGCAGCCACCTGCTGTTCTGACTCACTCCGTGGGGATCTTGGAGACTCTGAAAAAATTGTCTCCATACCATCTACACAACATACAGATTCAACTTCCCTTTATGGTCTCCGTTGTGCGGCTTTCATAATCTTATCAACAATATTTCCGATTTGACTGCAATCACCTTGATAAATAGTGGATTGAACGAGAAGTCTTTTAGCCGAAGATTTTTTCAATGTGACAATCTCTCTTAGAAGTAAAAGAACATTTAAATAAATCTCTCATTAATATAATAAAGAACTTACAAAAAAATCAGTAAGCGCAAATTTTTTTGTGTGGTGGTGGTGTCTTGTCCAGATCGTCAATTTCTGATTTTGTTGCAATGGGGGTGCCATTACCCCGTTAGTCAGCCACATTTCAGAGTTTCCTGTTCACAGTTACCGTAGCGGCTCACGACACCGTATTATAGAACAGTCCTTATTTGTGCTGCTTTTTCCGCCCGCCACGTAGAGGAGGGGTTGGATTTCTGGGCAGGATCTTTTATGGTAAACGAACACAAACCAAACTGAGATATCTGAGGAGTTTCCTGAATGTAAAGCTAAGAAAGATGGCAAGTCACTGGGTAGCTGTTATGTTCTGATATAAAGATCTATATATTTATTTCACAACCTCTAATAGCTACTTAGTGTCATGCTGTCCATCTTAGTTTCGGATAAAGAAGACACTTCCGAAAGCTTAGGTTATTTTGTGTTCGTCTACTGGATAATTTTTTAAAATATTGGACCATCTTTTTAAATAAGAATTCAGCAAACTAATAGGGATATAACACCTTTCACGATGTAATCTAAGTTTTACATATTCACTGATGCCATCGGAAAATGAAACATTTCATTGTTTTTGTAA